CCGCACGGACGGAGTGAGGACGCAGCGAGGCGTCCGCACGGACGGAGTGAGGCGTCCGCACGGACGGAGCGAGGACGCAGTGAGGCGTCCGCACGGACGGAGGGACGGCAGAGAGTTAAGGCTTTTGGCTGAAGGAGTACGACAAAGTGACCGGCGCAACAGACGCGTGCAGAGCACCGACGCACATCAGCTCTATGGCTTTCAGGTCCAACAGTCTAATAACAGTTTTTATACTTCATATACTGTAAAAAAAAAAACCCGTATATAAATATATATATATACTGTGAGCTGACGGAAACATTTCAGTAAACATGTTCAGGTTACACAGAAACAAAGTGTTTACACTGAATATCTGCAGCTTTCACTAAAAACAAGCTTCTTACACATGATTCTCACATAAACGTCAGTATTTATTACAATAAATGCAATAAAAAGCTACCTAGCCTTTATGTGTTTGTTCCAACGTATAAACTTCAAAAACTACGTTTTGTAGTAAACTTCTGTTAAAACAGCAACAAAAACACATTTAGAGAAGATTTCAGTGACAGCAGGAATAAAAAGGTACGAAAGAATCCAGCTCCGTCACAGAACTGTTACATGTCAGTGTGTGTGTGTGTGTGTGTGTGTGTGTGTGTGTGTGTGAGCAGATTCAGGTGAATTACCCAGCAGGCACTTTCCATTAAACAGTAAAAAAGCTTATGTGACAGTTTGAGGTTCCAACAAGACTAAAAAACACAAATATCAAAGTAAAACTAGTTTAAAAGTTGTTTTAAATCAGTGGTCAGTTTTTGGCAGCTACTTGAGGTTGAGACAGATCAGTCTCAGTAAAAACAGGACAACAAGTAAAACAGCTTGAAATGCTTTTTAAAGTAAATCAGATGTTTGAGCTCGTGGTCTGCAGGTTCTGAGTGTTTGACCTGTGGCTCGTCCTCAGCGCTTCATGAGCCCCTGCATCATCTCCAGCGGCAGCGGGAAGATGATGGTGGAGTTCTTCTCGGCGGCGATGGTGTTGAGGGTCTGCAGGTAGCGCAGCTGCAGGGCCGACGGGGACTCGGCGATGACCAGGGAGGCCTCCTTGAGGGCCCGCGACGCGTTCATCTCCCCCTCGGCTGCGATCACCTTGAGGAGGAAACAGGAAGAAAGATCTCACAACTCAGAGGAGCGAAACTCGACAACTTGTTCCAAACGCTTTTTAAAGTCACGGTTTCTGGACTGGGACTTGAACGGGAAATGGTCACGGTAACAAATTTTGCTGGGTGATTAATTGTCTCAGAAATTATTGCGATAAACGATAATATTTGAAAATAATTAGTAATTATTGTCAAATTTAAGAAGAAATGTTTTTCTTTTGCATGTAGTACATATTTTTGACCACCGGATGTCAGCATAAGACTGTTTGAACTGAAGGATGGATAGAGAGGGAGCGAGCAGCGTCTCTAAGAAAAATTGGAGGGAGGCCCCTTGACGTGGCACGGGCTGTCTCTCCTTCCTGTTTTCAGTTCTCAAAATGGCGGACGCTCTGTGTGGTTTGAGCTCTTTAGCGTAGCATTTGTCACACAAAGCTTTTAATTAAAAAAATAAAAATCAGTAAACAAGTTCTCAGCTTCTTTTTGCAGAGAAAAACAACCTTTTAGACGAAGGCACGGGTTTCAACCATGACTTTTGGAGCTTAGACAAGACGGAGTCCGCCCCCCCCCCGAGGTTGGTCTGTTAGCTTAGCTTCTTTTTAATGATCCAAAAACACAATTCTGGACGGTTAAAACAGATTTTAAAGAGAAAAGACAAAGGGAGGGGTCAGAGAAGAACCGGAGTTGAGTCTTTTGTCATCCAGTGTCTTCAGTAGAAAGAGAGTCATGAAGGAACGATGAATGAAAACCAGGTCCTTACCTTGGCTCTGGCCTCGCGGCTCGCCTCCGCCTCGGCAGCCATGGCTCTCTGCAGCTGCAGAGGCAGCTTCACGTCTTTGATCTCCACCCGCTCCACCTTGATCCCCCAGTCATCTGTAGCGTCGTCCAGCGTGGACTGAAGAGACAAACCAAAGTCCACACGTTACTCCGTCTCCTTTCACAGCGTGTTAGTGAAGCGTGGCCAGCAGACGGAGCCGACGCCGACGCCGAGCTGTTCGCTCCAAACGAGCTGAAAGCTGCCGCCATTTTATACAAACAGTTCTTCTGTAAACACATTAGTCTAATCATCGTGCTCACACACCAAACGGCACAAAGTCTGGATCCAGAGGAGTTCAACCGTTTAAACTGTTGGCTTCCTCATAACTTTTTAATAATTGGCACTTCATCATTTATTTCAAGAGGACGACTTTTGTTGTGAAGCGGCATTATATAAATAAACTGACTCAAATCAAATTAATCCCCAAAACATGATTTAAATGAAGCATCAAATCAGAACTAAACCTTCTGTAAACTTGAGGGATCCCGGCCCGCCGGCTTCTCAAATCCTGATTGTTTACAAACCTCCAACAGAGTCGGCGTCGCAAAAATAAAACGTTCAATCGTTTACAGCCGCTCAGCATCAAGCAGGAGTGAACGTGTGACGGATAAATAAATATTTAAACTGACGAGAACTGAACGCTTTACACAACAACACGTAAACACGTGTTTACAAAGACTCGCAGTCGACTGAAACGCTGCGCGTTGTTCTGAACAAACACACTCGCCCTCGTGGCGTGCGTTCACGCTGATGTTGCAGTGTTTCCCCAGCTTTATCCAAGGAGGGAGCTCCGCCTACTGAAGGAAACAGGAAGTGACTTCGACCTAGCATTAGTAACGTAGCGCTCCTCTAACTCTAAAACTAGAGGCCGATCGATTTATTGGTGGAGCTGATATTTTAGGCCGATACAGGCGTTTGGACACGTATCGGTGATAATTGTTCCATTATGCATCGATATGAACACTCAAGCTAACGTTTAGATAACCTAGCATAGCCTTGTAAGACTTTATCCAGAACAATAAATCTAAAGCGGCGGTAAAATATATCAGTGTTAGTAACTTTGTCTTTGTTGTCATCAGTGAAACGCAGCATTCGTCTGAAATCTTTACTTGTCTACAAAGAAAAATGAACTCTGCTGCGGTCAGTACTAATTAAACCGTCAGCGCACGTGACCGACTGTGTAACCAACCAACACGAAGGAGTTTCTTTGTTTAATTTATATTTTTGTAACACACTTGGTAACTTTAAGGTGAATAGTGGAGGAGAGAAAATGTGAACGCACGTTGGACTGGTTCAAGACTTCAGGTGTTAAACAGTTTAAAGTAGATGTTTACTGGACAAAGATTTTCAGACATTAGATCAGTTACCAGCATTAACCTGCCCCTCCAGGTATCGGCGACAGCCAAAGTTTCCATATTGGTCGGGCTCCAATTAAAACTGCTACACCCGATGTTAGTTTAAACGCAGGTCTGAAAGATGGCGGGTGATATGCACCTGCATGCTGTGTGCGATCTCCTCCCGGTCAGAGAGGATCTCTGCCAGGTTCTTGGTGCCCAGCACGTTCCTCAGGGTGGTCTGAGCCAACAGACGGGTGGCGGCGTCCGCGTTGGTGATGTTGGCTACGGCTAGAGTGGCGTTCTGGACCCGGTAGTACACCACGCCGTCAACGCTCACGGTCACAGAGTCTTTGGTCAGCACCTGGGGAGACGCATACCAATGAAGTGAGCGAGTGTTTGGACGAAGGTTTGGATTAAAGTCATACCTCTTGAGGCGGGATGTCGAAGGTGATGGTGCGCATGTCCACATTAATGAAGTTGTCGGTGCACGGCACGATGAAGAACAAGCCTGTGGAATCACAAGAGCGCAAACAGTTTTCACAAAGACTAAAGCCACGGCAAACACAATAACGAGGGAGCCGGTGGGCAAATGTTTGGAAACAAGGATGAATGAAATCCTGGCAGGAGGCCAAGTCAAACTCCCTCCATCAGGCTCCAGCTGCACCGGCGGCAAGGAGGAGCGCAGCTTTCATTAGCTCGTTTCACGTCGTAAATTAGGGCATCGAACAACACGAGGCATGTGCCGGAGCGAAGCAGACATGTGCTAGGTGTGCAGTCATTTAGCAAACATTAAGACCAAATCAGCTGAAGAGGAGCTAGCTGGGGATGTTTAAACAGGAAGATGTCCCTTCTGTTCATGAGGAGGAGGCTTTTAGCAACATTTTCTCCACAACACTCAATAAGTGCACGAATTATTAATACAGATAAAAAGCCTCATCTGCTCTAACGCCCGAGGGACACCCAGGAGGTTTGTCTTCAAGACAATGATGGATTTCACTCTTGGATCAACAAGAGATTTTAAAAGCCTGTTTCAAACTAAATCCTCAATAAAGAAGCTAAAACCATCCCTGACAGACTTTAGCTAACGTTAATACCGCGGCAGCTGAAGAACAACTGGCTCCAGTTTCTCACAGCAGCTTGTGAATTTAACGGCGAGATGACGGTTATGTCAATCATTTGAATTCTGTTAAAATAATCTAAAATAAAAAGCGTTCCGTAAAGGCTGAATATCACCTCCACCTTCCACGACACTTTCAGACCAAGATATGTTGAGAAACGAGGGGGTTGTGGTGATTTGGTCCAACCCTGAAAGTATTAGGCGTAACTCGTGAAATATCACAAGACGTCATAGTTTGTGTTGTGAATGACTCTCAGCTACTGCAACAAAAGATCAAAAAGTCTCACCAGGTCCTTTGGCTCCTCCTCGTAAAATACGCCCGAGACGGAAGATGATGGCTCGCTCGTACTCCTTCACGATCTGCAGAGAATCAGAACGCAACTAATCTTATTCCCGTCATGTTTAAATGCGTAAGAAACAAAATAGTACAATAGATAGAGCCATGGAGGAAAAGTTTTAACGTATGTTTAAATAATGACAAACATGAGGTGTTGGTAGTTTCAAATGTTCTTCCTGTGTTCACAGTTTGGAGGGTCTGCGGCTCGTTCCCTGTTGTGTTTTCATGGCAGCGCCGCCTACAGGCCTGGCATCATCACTGCAGCGTTTCAGCTCGTCTTCTGTTTTTAAATGGACACTGTTCCGTGTTCATTCTCCTCAAACGGCCACGCTGCAACATCTCATCATTTGTTCAGTAGTGGAGGACCATCTCCTCTGCCAAACATCCACACTTGCACAGTCTTTTTCTAATTGTCCTCTCATGACCTTTAACCTTTGACCTGCAAACTGAGGCCTGTAGCGTTTGAGATAAAGCTCATTTCTCTGAGCACTGCATGGTCTGACCTTGGGTTGAATTTCCTGCTGCTCCTGTGAAGTTTGGCAGCCATCTTGTATTTTCAACTTGTGAATATTCTTACTCTGTAAAACAGTTTGTAAATGACCTTTGACCCTAGATTGATAGGCTGCTCCTCTAAGGTCATTGCTGATGTTTTTCCTCCTTGGCGTTGTGTTAACACACCTGTTGGCTCTACAGCAGCAAAAGCTCCTGATTTTAATGAAGGTGGACTCAACGTTGTTCGTACCGTTGACCCAGAGGCGTGTTGGTCCAAACCTCCGCTCTATTTAAAGGATCGTTACTGCTCGTCAGCTCGCTGAAGTTAAGATATAATCCGTCATTACTGATCTACGTTCATCACACGTGGGGTCGTAGGTTTGATTAGAGGCAGGACTACGACAGCCTCGTTTTTAAAAGGTTACTCCGACGATACAAAGGAGGAGTTTAAATCTTTTTTCCACACCTGAACCTGGTTTAAAAAAATAAAACCGTTTCGGGACTCCTAAATTTTATTTTCTTAGTGGCCGGTGATGTTAACATTTATTAACATTAATGAACATTAATTAACAGTAGATATTGGTAAAGACACTGAATCGTATAGGCTCGTTCAGGAATTATGTGACTGCCTGTTTTGGTGCGTTTTGTTCTTGTGCACGGTCCCAAATAAATAAAACTTAAAGAAAACCACTTCTGTCAAACAAACAAAAAAACAAAAGCTCAACTTGGGTTTGTGAAGTTTCATCTGAGCAAACCACAACTTCTAGAACATCTTTACAACAGGTGAGACCAAAGTGGAGATTTTTATCACAAGAACAAAGAATATAATCTGTAAAGTATTGTTGCTCATTTGCGAGAACAATTTAATATTTTCTTTGGACTTGACAATCAGCTGACCTTAATGCACATCCATATGGAGATGGGCAGGGTGACCATCACCAGAAGGACGGAGAGTAAGACCAGCAGCCACCCACACAGGCCGATCGTAGAGTCTGCGTTCTCCAAAGCTGGGGTGAAAAGCACAAATAAAGATGCAGTGAAACCAACTGATCAAACCTTTAATTATTCACTCCTAACGTGAGTTTGCACATTCTTCAAAACGTTGTTGTGTTAATAACTTTAGAGCCCAGTCATGTATGTTAGTCAGGTTTAATGTCCACTCCAACCAGTTTTACTTGTGCTTCTCCGGTGCTCTAATGTTAGGCTACGCCCAGACAGTCATATTTATTATTAAAGATACAAAACAACAGGTACCGGCCCAGACTCATACCTTCAATATCGTGTACAGTGTACTTGACTGGACCTAAAGACAAAGTAAGAAGTAACAATTGGGTGTAAATCAAATAGTCAGTAAGGTCGATAAACACTTTGCTATAGAACTAAGACAGGGTTTATTTCAGGGCTTTCTGATGGGGTGGTGATGGTGTTTGGAGGGTGGTGGCACCCACCCATAGCTACTCAAAGCTTAAAAATAACAGGAAAAGAAGAAAATGCACCACAGTATTCACAATAATCGGTTGCTCTCCGCCCAAGGTTTTAAACACAGCCCTTCAGTTAGTGGTCGGAGCACGTTTGGAATGACTCTCAGCAACTACCACATCAAATTTGAGCTCGTCTGTAAAAACGCTTGGTGCGGTCAGCTAGCTATGATGAACTCGTTTGCCCCCATTACTTTTTTGAGAATGCTCACATGTGAACGATTTCTGGAAAAGCCGCGCTCGTTGAATCCACCGTAGTTTCCGTGCCAGGTCGCTAGCCGGCGTTGTAAATTTTCTTATTTCAGCGACACCGTGCGGAGACGCCAGGAAGAGTTGCATTTAAAATAGTGAATACCTGAATGTTTGTTTGGACCTAGGTTGGCGTGCACCTCCACTTTGTAAAGGGTGAGCAGCACAAACAGCATTCTGCTGTCGTCGTTACTGTTCACGTGTCGACTTGCAGATCTTTGTAGTGCACATCCATGCACCTCCACTCTGAGAACTGCAGTCGAAAAGCTTATGTGCCAGAGAAAATGGCCGCTGTCGTTAAATGCTATGGTTTCACTTTAAAATGGTTGCGTAAACAGAGCTTAAATTATAATTATGCGTATTAGACCTTCAGTGGGGTGTACGAGTGGTGGGCTAATTTATGGTTGGTGCACTGCCACCCCCACCCCTCCTTTGGTGGCAGCCCTGGG